GAAAATAACGTTTTCTTGAAACTCCAATTTTCGTCCAGAAACTTCAAAAGACCTGTGTGAATCTTATTTTAGTTACATACCTCAAAAACTCTAGATCTAATGCTCATGAAATTTCTTAGATCTAGATAAAATCGAAACACGAAGTTTAGAATCTTACTTTGTCCGTTCTTAGATTTTTTTGCTGGAATGAGTGGATCCACCACCCAAACTTCTTTTCTAGCACCGAGAGGAGTATTGCTTCGAAGTTTCTTACCTTGGATTAGATCTCCAACAACAATTTGTCTTCTCTACTATTCCTCTCTCCCAAACCCTAACTTCTTCTCGTTTCTCCTTTCTCCTTTCTCTCTCTCTTTTTCTTTTCTTTCTTTTTCTCCTCTTTTTAGAGCCCAAACAACTGGACCGTTTGTAAGAGACCCTTTTGCCCATATGTTGTTATTTTATTTATTTATTTATTTATAAAAAAATTCGAGTATTACTTCTTATCTATTTTTCTTTCTGTCTTATCTATTTTATTTTTATTTTCGGTTCAATGGGAAGAAAATATGATAAATATAGTCAAGAGAACCATTTATAACACTGGTTAATGTGCTTGAGATAATTTGTGCTAATTAAGGAGAAAATATAGAAAATCAAACAGTCTCATTTGTGGTTTCCTTTATTTTTTTAATTAAAATTAGGACAGCTTTGTTTTTCATCTCAATCAAAAATAGCAAATAAAAAAGAATTGATATTTATAACTATGCGACACATACGGATATCCAAACTCAAAACTCTCATAGCATTTAATCTTTTGCATGGATATTAACCTTAAATTACCTTCCCAAAGAGGATTAAGAGCTTGTTCCACACAACTTTTTTTTGGGTGTATAATGAACAAAAACCTAAATGGCTAAGCATCAACAAAAGAGCCTCGAGTATCTAAAGAAAAATTGAAGGATCCATTATTATTAATACACGTTTTGCAGGATCCAAGATACAAGCTATAGGGAGCAAAGGGCAAGAACCATGGAGCGAATGACAAGTGGCTATCTACAATTATCAAACAAACTAAGTTTTAAATGTTCATTGCAAGTCAAGAGATGACGTTTGAGCGAAAGCATTTTGGACAAGCATGCCCGATTCAACTAGAGCTTCACAATGAACTTTTGGCGTACGACTTTATTTTGGTGCAATTTTAATGGTTAGAATGGACATGCTTCATTTGAGGATTTTGGCCCGGGAACTAGTATTAGCTTTCTCCACGGTGTGACTTTAAAAACTGCATTTATGTAGCATTTGATGATGGATTTTACTTGAGAAATATTCCTTCGGGTATCTTTGAATTATACACCCTTGGGAAAAATGAAATAAAATCCCCGAACCACAAAAACCTGCTTTTTTATTCTTTTATGTTGGATTGCTCACCCATGTAGTAATTCAACATAGTGTTGTTGGGTTTCTTTATAGACCTAAGATTTTGTATATTTGAAATCTACAGTACTGAGAGGAATCTTTTGGGATATCAGAATTCTTTTAATGTTTATAATTTGGTCGGGTTTTGAGCTTCTAATTGCAATGACTCATACCCAAGATTCGAAATATGAATTTGGTACTTAATGGCCCTAGGATTCCCGTGACGATATGGTCAGGTTACTTACTCCTCGCTTCTAATAGTAAAAACTATGAACGCAAACCAACATGAGTCCTTCTAACACGTTTTGTCCTCAATCACGTGTTTGCTACAAAAATTCTCAAAAGGTCACCCATCATAAAATTGCTCTAGTTGAATTCGGAGTTCCTATAGTTGAAACACCAAAAAGGAAAGTGCACCTTTTTGATATAGGTAGTAACTTTCAATTCTTTTTAAGATTTTCTCATTCATCTATACTCTTGATTGCTTTCCTTCGAATGTCATCTTTACTCATTCATGTACTCTCTTTGTCCGAGACTAGAGGCCACCCCTATGATGATAGAGATAGATAGTTTCCTAAATAATGATTGTTTGTGTTTTCATTTGCATGGCCCCCTATAGTGGGGCCACTTACTTAGCATTCTTTGAAATACTCAAGCCGTGTGCCACATTATTTTTCAGATCAAGGCAAGGCGCACTTTTACGGAGGACGGTTGCTTCACGAGCAGAGACTATGACACGTGCATAGGGTAGATTCATATTTAAATTTCTAGGTTTAGGTTAGAATAGGTTGTTATGCATTTCATTGTTTTAAATTATTTTGTATTTCTCTTATTTTCTCTTAATTTCAGTATTTCGTATTTAAATACGTAAGGACATGGGTGTGTTTTCTAGAGAATAGTTGTTTTAAGCGTTTTTCGAAGTTTATGTAATAAATGATGGTTATGCGAATGTCATAGAAAAATAATAATAATAATAATAATAATAATAAATAAATAAATAATAAATAAAGATATAAGCCAACAAAAATAATTATAAAAAAATATTTAAAATAATAATAATAAATAAATAAATAAACCAAAAAAAAAAACTTTCCTCACTCCTCTCCACTAACATCTCATCCCATCCCACAATTATCTCTCCTTAAGCCATCTTTAAGAAAACTGAAAAACAACAGATTGGAGTAAAAAAATGAGAATGGTCTTTACCCAGTTGAGACTTTCTGTAGATTTACTTGAAGATAGATTTAATAAATATAATATATATTAAATCTTCATTTTCTTTTATTTTTTTTAGAAATCATAGTCAATTATAGTTAGATGTTCATTAAATTATTACAATGGTTTAGCTTTGAGTTAGAAATTAAGTGTCAATCATTATACGAATTCTAGTAAATCTTCAATTATTACAATGGTTTAGCTCTGAGTTAGAAATTAAGTGTCAATCATTATACGAATTCTAGTAAATCTCACTAATATAAGATTAAATTTATATCAGTAGTCAAATGAATAGATTAAAAATAGAATGACCAAGAAAATTTGTGAACAGTAAACATAAGGAAAGATTTGGAAACACGGATTCACTATAAATTTGTTATACATGAGAACAAAATTAAAAGGCAACATAGTAAATACATATATAAAAAACAGTAAGCCTTAGAAATTAAAAACCACAAACTAAATATAGAGAGAAAGATAAATACATATGGGAGTAAAGCACAGAATAATTTGAAATAACTCTATCTATTTTTTTTATACTACAAGAACCATGGAAAATAAATTTTTTTAATAAAAATATAATTATAGAAAATCATTTCAAGACTTTTAACAATGTAACTGTGTAAATTAGAGAAATAATTTTATAGAATTCAAACTTGAAACTGATGTCATTGGCTCACATAGGTTGACTTGAATTTCAAAGGACAGAATCTAACTTTCATTAAATATATATTCGGGACAACAACTTAAGCTAACCAGGTAAGTGGTCTTACTATCGGCATGGTTATACTTGATGTTGACACGTGCCTGTGGTTCTGCACGTGTCATATATACTGATATGTGTGAATTATCTGTGAATCAGTATGCTTATATTATGTTTATGTTATGTTATAATATGTGAATTGTATGATACTAATTGTGGTACGATGTGTTTAAGGATATGTTTGAGATTGGATACAAGAAGGATGCACAAAACAAAATGTAACGATAGGAGTAAGATACGTTCATGAAACGTTAAGGTTAGATTACATACCGGAGTGCTATGGATAGGAGAGATTGATGAAAGAATATGGTTAGGATATGGGTAGACAGGGATAAGTTTGTGATAGATTGATAGAACGATAGCATTAGGGTAAGTTCCTGTGATGATATGACTAAGGTACGTTCACGTAACGATATGACTGTGATAGGTATAAGAACGTTTAGGCTACGATAAGTTAGGAACGATATGACCACGAAGTGTTTACGATATGACATGTTTATGAACAATATATTGTGATGTGAGGTGTTATGTTTAGATTTTTTTGTGTGACCACGAAGGTAATTGTTGAATGAATTGCACGTTATGAAATGACATGTTAAAAGCATGGAGTGTTATGTTATGTTTTCTAAATTGTATATATACAATATGTTATGAATGACATGCTATCACGATAAATGAAATGAAATGTAACCCCGTTAGGATTATGTATGATGCGTAAAGTTAAGAATGCGAAATGACATGTTAAGCATGGAAGATGATAGCAGGGTTATATTCATTAATGACAAAACTAGAAATGTTGGGGGCCTCATGCATTATGTGTGCTCATGCATTTAGGGGATTACCCCTATTCAATCACGAGGGTACAGACGCGTACATCCAATGGCAAGACAATGATTGTTATGTTTTACATACCGTTGTCGTGACGGTTACTAGTTCTAACGAGTGTTCGACCTAAGGAGCTTCCAGAGTATGCTCGCCCAAGGCAAGTGGCTCAGTGGTGTGTGAACCGACTAGTGAGCCCATACTCGCATGTATGGGTTGTGTGTAGAATATAGCCCAAATTACCCGTTAGTACAGTACCGTTAAAATAGATTAAAAGAATAGGTCCCGTCATTGCATTCACATGTTCTTGCATGGATATTAACCTTAAATTAAAACTCTCATAACATTTAATCTTTTGCATGGATATTAACCTTAAATTACTTTCCCAAAGAGGATTAAGAGCTTGTTCAACACAAGTTTTTTTGGGTATATAATGAACCAAAACCCTAGTGGAAATGGGCGAAAGTGAGTATGGATTTCATATCAGGATTGCCTAAGACTCGACGAGGTTTTAATGTGATCTGGGTCATTGTTGATAGACTCAGAAAAATAGCTCACTTTATCCCGGGTAAAAGCACATTTCGAGTGGATATGGGCTTAGTTATACGTTCGAGAAATAGTTCGTTTGCATGGCGTGCCTACTTCCATTGTGTCTGATCGCGATGCTAGGTTTACCTCTCAGTTTTGGAATGGTTTACAGAAAGCCTTAGGCACCTAACTTCGTTTCAGTACGACATTCCATCCTCAGATAGATGGACAAACAAAGAGGTTGAATCAAGTATTAGAGGACATGCTCAGGGCGTGTGTAATGGATTTCGCTGGTTGTTCGGATGAACACCTACCCCTCATGGAGTTTTCCTATAACAACAATTATCAAGCAACGATTCAGATGGCCCCGTTTGAGGCCTTGTATGGGAGGAGGTTGTGGACACCAGTGTTTTGGGAAGAGGTTGGAACCCAACAACTTATGGGACCGAAATTGGTTCAGGTCACAAACGCGGCAGTCTAGAAAATCAGATCAAGGATACTTACTGCACAAAGCTGACAAAAGAGTTACGTCGACACTCGAAGAAAGGACATCGAGTTTGCGGTGGGCTAACATGTTTTCCTAAAGGTAGCACCCATGTGAAAGTGTTAAGATTCGAGAAAAAGGGTAAACTTAGCCCTAGGTTCGTAGGTCCCTTCGAAATCCTTAAGAGGATTGGTGTTGTAGCGTACAGGTTGGTGTTGCCACCCACTGTTGCCACTGTGCATAACGTATTTCATGTATCCATGTTGAGAAAGTACACGCCAGACCCCACGCACATCATTGAGGACGAAGCACTTCCGCTTCGTGAGGATCTATCTTACGAAGAGGCCCCAATCAAAATTATATCTCGAGATGTCAAGCGATTGCGAAACAAGGAGATTCCCCTTGTCAAAGTCTTGTGGGGTAATCATCTGGATAGTGAGGCTACCTGGGAGCGGGAGGATGACGTTAGGAAGTCTTGCCTTAAACTCTTTCTGGAACAACCAACTTTCGGAGACGAAAGTTCTTAAGGAGGGGAGAATTTGTAACACCCCAAGCCTAACAGGTACAATTCGCTTTATCCTTGTGATTAGCACCTTCTTAACCATTGTGAGTTTCTAGATTTTATTGTAGAACTTAGAGTGTTATTTTCAAATCAGTGCAGAAGAAAGAAATGCTCGTGATGCATCAAGTAACTTTAAAAAAAAAAATTTAAAAATGGTAATGTAATTGAAATTTTTATCAAAGTCAATGGGGAAAAAGGTAATTTTGCCCCATACATATAACTTTGAGGGGGTCTCGTTAGACCTGGAAGAAGGGAAAAGAAAAAGAAAAGAATAAAAAAAATAATAAAAAATAGAGAGAGAAAGAAATGAATAGTTAGGGTTTTTAAGAAGAGGAAGAAGAGGGAGAAGAGGGAGAAACGCCCTAAAACCAAATTGAAGCACCCTCAATCTTAGGTCTCCTACTAGAGCTACTCAGAGTATCAAGAGGAGTGGTCTGAGCGTTGGATCATTCGTTTCCAGCAAGAAACGGGCAAGAATGCGAGGTGAGTCCGCGATCTCTCTTGTTTCAAGATTTCACCATAAATCGAAGAGTTTTAGATGATTTAAACCTTAATAATCTAGTTGCAATACTTTAGGTGAGGAGTCTTGTAAGTTTTCAGAGGAAAACAAAATCGAGAAACCGTCCTACTTCGGTATGAAACTGAATTTTTCTTAGTTTTCGACTTCATTTATTAAGTACTGTGAGTATAAAAAAATACAATAAAAATATATCTGGATAGGCGGACTTGAGATTTTGAATTCTTATGAAGGAACCAATTTAATTCGAGTTACAGTTTGGAAGATAGAAAAATCCAAAATAAATAGGTTGATATAGAATTTGACCAGAATCTTGAAATTGGATGAACTCAGGCAATCGGCGACGAACACGCGGTCACCGGAACGGGAGGACACGTATCAAGCAACTAGTGGAGAGACACTTCTGGTGCCTCCGCTGACACGCGTCAGACTAGTGACCCAAAAACTCGACCCGCGCTCTGTGAAGCAACCCGACGACCTGCGGTCCAACCCGAAACCTACCACAAGTCCTTGTTC